TGTCGGTGTTGATATTAGTACCTCTGTTCGGAGTGGTTACTATTGTGCCACGCAGGCTGCGCTAGCAGGCCACGCACAGGGTGATGATGATCTGGCTTTGCACATGACGCCGGCCCGGAATTTGGGAGAAAGCTTCGACTCTGCTGCCGAAGACGCAGAATGGCACATGTCATCTCCAAATTCCACCCTTGCACAACTTCTCTTCCCCAGACCTACAGCAAAGCCCCAGGTTGCCTCCAAGCCCACAAAGAGAGAAGTACCGGCGCCAGCGCCTGCGCAGGACAGTGGGAACCCTAAACCCTCAACCCTCAACCCTAAACCCCAAACCCTAAACCCTAAACCCTTATAAACCCTTAACCCTTAACCCTAAACCCGAAACCCCTAAACCCTAAACCCTAAACCCTAAACCCTAAACCCTAAACCCTAAACCCTAAACCCTAAACCCTAAACCCTAACCCTAAACCCTAAACCCTAAACCCTAAACCCTTATCAACCCTATATGCCCTAAACCCTAAACCCTTATAAGCCCTATATGCCCTACACCCTAAACCCTATAACCCTATAACCCTATAACCCTATAACCCTATAACCCTATGACCCTATAACCCTATAACCCTATGACCCTATAACCCTATAACCCTATAACCCTAAACCCTAAACCCTGTAGTCAGGGTGTGCTTCAGGGATTCAAAACTATGAACTCCTAAACCCTATATATAAACCTTATATATAAATCCTAAACTACAAACCCCAAAACCCTATATAGGGACTATGAACCCTAAAGTCTTGGGGTTTTTGGGGTTTAGAAGGTTTATAAGGTTTATAGGGTTTAGGGTTTATAAGGTGTATAGGGTTTATAAGGGTATAGGGTTTATAAGGGTTTATATAGGGTTTAGGTTTAGGGTTTATATGGGTTTATGGGGTTTATATATAGGGTGTCACCCTATATACTGCTCGAGTTTTGGAGATCCAGGGTTCCCTCGTTCCCCCAACCAAAGACTCGCCACTCCCTCAGCAGTCTGAGATCCCTAAGCCTTTGAAAACCCATAGCGTTTATAATCGGGTTTATAGGGTTTATATAAGGTCTAGGGTAATAGGGTTTAGGGTTTACAAACCCCCTATTCATAAACCCCTATACACCCTATAAACCTCTAAGCCCTGTAAACCCTCTAACCTCTCAGCCCTCTTAACTGTAAAGGACAATGTGAAACGGCGCAAGCCGATTTCTGCTGTCCCTCAAGAAGGTTCGGATTCTGATGTCGACCTCAAGCGAGAACAAGAAAATTTGCAAGAGCAGCTTGCAAAGATTCAAGCAAAGATGGACATGAAGAAGGCGAAAGGTGCCGAAACACGCGGCACAAGTCCTACCCCGAGTACGTGCACCTCCCGCCCAAGTTTGATCCCCAGCGACAGATCGACAGCAGCCCGACCTCGGCCCAGCCAGTGCAAAGCCGACTCCCAGACCACCGGCCCCATGAATGATGCCCCCAACCCGACCCAGGCGACCAAGCCTGCGGGTGCCCGCCCAGTGGCTGCGCCTTTGCGTGGGCGCGGCCGCAGTTACTCCTTTCCATCCACAGTTTGCGACGATGACTATGACCCGAAGGAGGAAGAGAATGATTGCTCTTCAGCGTCTGAGGAAGAGCGAGACGCACAGGGCAAGTACCGCGCAGCACGTCAAGTTCTGAACAGTGGAAGGTTTGGTGTGGTATACGACCCTAAGACTGGCCAGGACACCTGTCTCATGTTTCGCAATGTCTTTCAAAACCAAGACCCAACACCCGCGTGCTCCCTTTGAGTGTTTCCCCGAGGTTCTCTCTGAAAAGGCCATCGAACAGCGCCTTCGCCGGGCGTGTAGTGGTAGTGGCAAGAGGAAAGCCAGCGCTGGTCAAGCCGCCCAAAAGATGTACGAAGACCCCGCGAATCGAGACTGCATGGCCGACATGCTGATTGCGAGCTCCTTCTCCAAAGTCTCTCGAATTCGAAAAAATGTAGCCACTGTAGTGTGCAAGCGTGGGCCCCATTCTTGTGTGTGTGTGTGTGTGTGTGTGTGTTTGTTTGTGTGTGTGTGCGTGTGCCCTAAACCCTAAACCCTAAACCCTAAACCCTAAACCCTAAACCCTAAACCCTATACCCTAAACCCTAAACCCTATAGACCCTATAGACCCTAAACCCTAAACCCTAAACCCTTATAAGCCCTATATGCCCTAAACCCTAAACCCTATAACCCTATAACCTTATAACCCTATATAACCCTAAACCCTAAACCCTAAACCCTAAACCCTAAACCCTTATAAACCCTATATGCCCCTAAACCCTATAACCCTATAACCCTATAACCCTATAACCCTAAACCCTAAACCCTAAACCCTATACCCTATAAACCCTAAACCCTAAAACCTATAACCCTAAACCCTAAACCCTAAACCCTATAAACCCTAAACCCTAAACCGTATAACCCTAAACCCTAAACCCTAAGCCCTATAAACCCCAAACCCTAAACCCTAAACGTGTGTGTGTGTGTGTAAAAAAAATCAAACTTAGGCCGCCTTTCGCAAGTCAGTGACCAAGTATGTCGAGAAGGAGAAAAGCAAGCTCAAGGAAACCAAAGCGGGGTGGTACACAGAAAGCGCGATGGCTACAATTCTGAAGCTGAACGCGCCCCTTTCCAAGCACAGTAGCCTTCAAGTCTAATACAATCTTTGACAGGCTCCCCTGAGCCTAAACCCTATACAAAACCCCTATATAAACCCTGTGTATAAACCCTACTAATCCGAAACCCTAAACCTAAACCCTAAACCCTAAACCCTATAACCCTATAACCCTATAACCCTAAACCCTAAACCCTAAACCCTAAACCCTTATAAACCCTATATGCCCTAAACCCTAAACCCTAAACCCTATAACCCTATAACCCTATAACCCTAAACCCTAAACCCTAAACCCTTATAAACACTATATGCCCTAAACCCTAAACCCTTGAACCCTATAACCCTAAACCCTTATAAACCCTATATGCCCTAAACCCTAAACCCTATAACCCTATAATTAACCCTATAACCCTAAACCCTAAACCCTAAACCCTAAACCCTACCGCTCAGGTCGGACATCAAGGACATCGTGGAGTACACCAAAACAAGGCCACAATTGCGCAGGCCTGCATGGTTCTTCTTTGAGTGGATTGCTGAGTTCAGACTAAGTTTGCTACCCATAAGGAAGTACAAGTACAACACCAAGAAGCTTCAGCATTGGGTGGAAAATGAATGGACCGGAACGGACACTTCCAAGACAACGCAGGGCTCGAGGAAACAAGTGGACCAGGATGCCATAGATCTTGACAAGGAAGCAGCGGAGTTAATCAGCGACATGGAAGATGATGCTGAGCAAGCCCTGGCTGGTGAAGAGGAAGAGGGGGGTGGTGAAGCGCAGCCTTTCCGGCCAGAGGCACTAAGTGCGCGCACGCATTTGTGTGGAGACCCGAAGCACCACCCCCCACCCCAAACTCCCTCCAAAACTGTCAATCATGCTTTTCAGGAAACTGTCGAGGCTGTGGAGAAGGCCATGAGCGATCTTCTTGCCCGAACGTCCAAGATGCACGACTTGGCCGGCAAGCTTAGGGCGCCCTACAACCCGGACCCTTCCAGCACCCACACCAGGCAACTCATTTGAGGCATATGTGTATGCACGATGCTTTGTGTGGTCGGAAATGACCCACTTTTTGTTCAGGTATGCAACCGAGCTGGACCGCCTGGCCACAAGCATGGAGAACCAGTGGGATGGGTTGGCTGAGTTGCTGGCCGAGCACACGGCGCACGGTATGTCTGGTGATCTTAAGCGCCTTGCTTGTACTGTTGCTGTGGGTCAGCCCATCGTTTTTTTGGGTAGGACTCTGCCTGCGATAAGGAAGAAGATGCAGGGACTCATCAAGCAAGCCTGCTTCCAGCTCCTTGATCCTGACTCATACATGTAAACCTCATCGAACCATGGTTTTTGCAAGGTTAGATTGCACCTAAGGGCGTCGAAGGCCACAGCTCAGGAGAACCAAGTCATGTCTGCCTCTTAAACTCTATATACTCATTGAGAGAATTGCAAACGTAGGTATGGGTGTTGCTTCTAGTTGCTCTTGCGAGGCCCCAAATCCGCGACATCGACAAGCTGAAGCTAGTAAATTTCACTCTTTCTCCGGGGGAAGGGCGGGGCACATGTTTCAATCGATTCTGGGGAATCCTACAAAACATTGGCCGTGAGCTGCGAGTTGGAGTCCGCTGTCGTGATTCAAACTTCTTGTAGCTGGATTGCGGTTCTCCAGTTCTCCACTCCCATGTTTCAATCGACTCCGGGGAATCCTACAAAACACTCGCCGTGAGCTGCGAGTTGGAGTCCGCTGTCGCGATTCAAACTTCTTGTAGCTGGATTGCGGTTCTCCACTCCTGAGTGGCCTGAAAGGTCGCTCCTAGTGTTGGGAACACAGGCAACTTTGAAACGGACAGTTCTCCGCAACAGCTTTATGGCCCATGCCCCTAAACCCCTGACCACACCCCCTACAGACCCCCCCCCGACCTCAGACTCCGACACACTGCATTTCAACAGGCTGCACCCCTAACAGACTGGCCACCTGCACTGCTTCAAGCTTTGGACTTTGGACCCAAGATGAATCCCAAAGACATTTTAAAATCAAAGCACAACTGAAACACACAGCGGAATGGAGCAGAGCAACAAGCTCACACAGGCTGCTGCAAAAGTAATTAAACACTGTCGACAGTCATTTTGCGCCGTTGCTGAAGATGCCCCGGTGTGTGAAATGTGAAAACCTCGACACAAGAACGATCCAGCGGATCTGAAGTCACGAGCACGGGCCAGCACCTGCACTCAGAAGAGTGTCTGATGATCTGTGCCCTGGGTGACTGAAAACCCCAGTCAGGATCAAACCTGACCAGACTGAGCACCCAGGGAGCAAGTTTTGCCCCCTGATGCAGTCTTCCCACTTTCCAGTGTTCACTTCACTTCTTCAAGATCTCCAGAACTTTGCGCATTCGCTCACAGGCAGACTCGGAGTTGCCGGATGCCTGGGTGATCTTGATGCCCTCTTCATACTTGTTTGCGCTGGACTTCAGAAACACATTCTTGCGAAGCCCGTAGATGTGCTCCCCTTGGGGCACAGCAGCCTCCACCACCAACCATCCAGCCGGAATGAAAAGCACCTGCTTTGCCTTGAGAACGCACTGCCTGGAATTGATTCCTTGCTTCAGAATCTCAGTCAACGCCGTCTCGTCAAGGGTTTGGAGCTTTGTCAAGAGTGCTTCCGGGTTCGGCTTGGGCTCCGGCTCGTTCTGGAGCATGACACTGGAAAGTGAACACCACTCAATAATGAAAAAACGGACTTCACCAACAACCAAAACACGAAAAGTGCTTGCGTGATTCGGAATGAAGCCTGCGCAGGTGTTGTCCATAGCAAGCCCGAAAAGCCATGTGGCGTCCATGAATCCCTTTCCACCCGCCACCTCGGAGATGTCAGGCACCTCAGAGCGTGGAAGCAGCTTCTCGATATAGGCATTGAAACTGGGCCGACCCTGCTTGTCGTCCATGGGCAAGCTTGCTTGGGTCAACTTCGCATTGGACATGGCCCGCTTGTACTGCGACCCCCAAGAACTCAACGCCCTCTGCAAAGCTGAATCTCCCAGGCACGCAGCAAGGTCCTCGCCACCACTCATCATCCATGGGCTCTTCCAATGGTCACCGCTTTTGCATGTGTCTGTCAACATGGGCACTTGCGGAACTGTTTCAACCGGCAACGTGATGGTGAAGAGGGCCTGCGCCTTCTTGCCCTCAGTCTTGCGCCTCTTCACCTGATCTGCTGCCGCCTGGGCATCCTCCCGGATCTTTCGCAAAGCATCTTTGGATGTTTGCTCATCACGCCTCCTCTTTTCTCGGTTGTTCTCTGTAACCTTGACCTTCATGTGCTTGCTGATGTCGTCAGCGGCTTGCTTGATGGCTTTGGGAATGCACTGCAAGATCTTCTCCTTGAGAGCCCACTCCTTCTTGAGCTTGGCGAACTCCAACGGATCCCTTTCCGTGAGGGCTTTGTCTTGCATCTCCTCCACTTCCTCAAGAGTTGGCAAATCCGCCACGTTCCCATCCCAGAACTTGTGCTTCTGAGTGCGGACCTCTGCTAGGAAATCACGAAAGGACATCGCCTGTCGAGCAGCCAACTGTTCTGCTGTCACGACCTGACTCTTGGCTGCCGTGCTGCTGGGGGAAGGCGGCGCTGCCGCTGCCGAATCAGATCCAACGGAAGCAGACACAGATGGACCCACGGCACACATGGAAGCGTCCGGGACCATCTGTTGAATGTCCTTGGCCTGACCCTGGCATCTGCAACCTGTCTCAAATCGGAACTGGAGTGTCCGGGCAAAGCTGAGCAAGGCCCTGTCTGCAGCCTTCAGCTCGGTCGGGTGCTCCTTGAAAGTGTCCATGGCCTTCTTCGCGACAAGGTCACACTTCTTAAAGTCTTGGACGATCTTCTTCCTGGAGCTCTCCATGCTGCGGTGCAGAATGGGGCCTTCACGAGTTGGATTCAGGCTGGCGACCTTTTCCGGCGTGAGCTCATCTTCATCTTTCATCTTGCCCTTGGAGTCTTTTTTGTGGGGAGTTGTAGGTGGCCCCTTGGCCAAGTCCTCCATCTGCATTGCTGACCTGCTGAAATGCTCATCGTCGAAGCTCAGGTCTTGCCGCTTGAGGTGGTCCTGCAGCGATGAGTTTCTGCAAACTGCAAACTCCCCGCAAACAGCACAAACATGCTTACCTTATGGACACACGTGACACACACATACACTGCAAACTCTCCGCAAACAGCACAAACCACACACACACACACACATGTAACCACACATGTGGGCACACAAACTTTGGACCTGTAGCATTGGGACCGTCCTTCAGCATCTGGCGCTCTGCAGCGGCTGGGGCACGGAGGTCGCCAGAAAACTCATGGACTTGGTTATCCACGTAGTGGCTCCGTTCCTTGAAGTCTAGCTCATGAACAGGCAGCCACAAGCGCTCCGCCCCGTGGAATCCCATATTGTCGCGCTTGAGGCTGCGGTCTGCGTAGAAAGTCTTCCACTGCTCCTGGGCTTCCTGCTCTGAAAGGCCCTCGACGTTTTCTGCGTATTTGTACCAGGCTCTCTCTGTGAATGGCCTGCAGCCATTCTGGTCAACCGTGGCAAGCCTCTCACCACGAATGCGGACGAACTTTGCAAAATCCACCAAGCCCTTCTTTTTAAGTTCCGGAGGATTGTCCATCGCAAACTGGTGCACCTCACGGCCTGCAAGCCCGTCGTCCTGCATCGTTTCGTCAAAGGCATCCTTTTGCTCCTGCGTTATGTCCTTTCGGCTTCTGCGCTGGTACATGAGGTTGTCAAAAGCCTTCTTGTGATCGCCCAAGCTACAGAATCGGCAGCCGGGATACTTCGGGTACGTGCATCCTGGGACAATGCAACATGTCACAGGCTGTCGCTTCTTTGTCTCACCGGTAGCCTTGGACCGACCACGGCCGCCACCTTTCTTGCCTCCCCGACCCCGCCCACGGGCACTTGCATGGGCCTCGGCTAAGTTTCCCTCTGACTCATCCCTTGGAGCTTCCTCAGGTAAGTCAAATCCATCTTCTTCGGCATGAAGAGCCTTCACGGTCTTCTTAGGCCCCATGCTGGGAGCACAGCTAAGCACAGTGCCTTGCTACAGTGAGCTGACTTGAGATGTTTGTAGAACAACACATCAGGTGCCTGGAACAGAACTCTGAGACAAGAGACTGGGGTTTCGGAAACTCAACTCCAGGACTGGTGCACACTGCAGCAGCTACAGGAAACACGCGTTTGTTCTTTTTACTCGGAGTCTTCCTCATGACATGAGGCTTGGCTTAGCTTAGCAGTCAAAACAGCACTGACGTCATCCGACGGACGCAGACTCAAACATCTATGATCTTTAGCACAGAATACTACAGCAGTGAGTGAAGCAATGACTCAAGCCCGGGCATTCAACTAGCTGTACTGGTGTCATGTCACCCCGACACCGGCTCGATGGATGCTCATCTTGAGAGCGGGTGGCATCAGCCCGACCCACACACACTCCCACTGCTGTGACACGCCAGACCTGAATCTTACACTCGGTCTCATGGCACACAGCTGGTCAGTCTGTCACTCAGTCTGTCATTGCACTCTGAAAACCCATATCTGCATCGCATGACCCAGGCTTATCCCCGCACGCGCAAGAGCTAGCGGGACGCTCCCGCAACCGGGCCCGGGGCATTAGGGCGGCGGCGGCGGCCAGCATGACTGTTATCATTCTCATTGTTTGCGCCACGGTCCAGCAAATCATCAGCATCCGACCAACTTCGAGTGCAGTCAGAGTCAGAGCTACCAGACGCCTCCTCTGGCGCTGGTGCTGCTGGCCTCTGCACAACACCACGGCCCTGCACATGGACATTGTCGCCATAGCCTAGAGCGGCCAAAGCTGGACGTAGCGGCAATCCCTGCTTTTCCTTCTTCGTCCACTTGTACATGAGAGCCTCAGCTTGGCGGAAAGCATCACCCGCGTCCCCTGGACCAACAAAAGTGAAACTGCGGCTGATGCGGGGATGATCAACACGCATGGTTCCCCGAAGATCCACCACAATTCCAATCTTGCGACCAGCAATGGGGGACAATCGATACATGAACTGGCCCCGCGGCGGTCGCAGGGGAAGTGCGACTGTTGGCAACTGCTCCAAAATCTGGTAAAACCTGGTCTGCAAATTGCCATACCTAGGTATGCGGGCCCTGTCCCTGTCCACTGGAGCAACGGGCAACGCAGCATGAGCAGCTTGCTGGTCTTCATTGGCAGCAGGTCGAGCGTGATTTTGCACATCCTGAAGCAGCAAAGGAAAGTTTGGGGGGTTGGTTTGGGTTCAGGGCTCTTCAGGGTTACCTAGCTGAGCGCAGAATCAAGCACAACTAATTTCGGCATTGCACCTGAGCTTGAACAGCCATGGTCAGCAAGCTAGCACGCTCAAAGCGGGTTGAAACAGCAAAGGCCACTGGAGAAATGGCTGCGTAGCACAAGCAGTTTAGGTGAAGAGAGTAGACATGGTAGACTGACACTCTGGCTCACCAAAGCGCTGAGCTCACTGTTCACGAGACAGGGGACTCTGGCAGACAGTTCTCACGCAGGGAGCAAGGAAACCAAAAACCTGAGTCATTCCTGACTCCTGTCCAAGAAGCATGTTGCTCCAGGAAGGGTTGACATGTCTTGGGTTGCTGTACACTGTGACATGTGAAAGGGCCAAGGCTATTGAACGTAGCCGCAAAAAAGAGCAGCAGGAGCAGCAACCCTTATGACAGAACCCAACATCCTAACAGGCCTGGGACTGCTACGATCCAGCACTACGCCCTTCACAGCTCATCACTGTCATCTTCCTGGCACAGCCCACCTCCAAGCTTCTCAGTGGCTGCCTCGCTGTCGGTTTCTGACGTTTCTGGCGGCACTCCAACACGCTCCTTCCAGACATCAGGAATCTCTCTCCTGCACGTGTGACAGAACACGTAAAGATGCCAAGCATAGATGACCGGTAAGCACTGCGAGTTTCCAGTCAGCTGTTTGATGACACGATCACTGCAGCCCAGAACCGTCTCTGTCAACGGCCACCAGAAACGCTCACCCACACACTCATGCGCGTGAAAGCCAAGAGAGAGCAACCGGTCTCGGGGCATCGCCATTTGCCAGGTGGCCAAATTCACCACGGTTCCATGTCGCAAGAGGACCGGGAACATTGGACCATAGCCTGGCCCTGGACTGTGGGGCCAATGGTCCAAGTCAACGATGAAAGTGCCGTCAATGGCACTAAACTCGTCTTGGAGCTCTTGATACTTTTCCAGCCTCTGCAACTGCCCTGGGGCCAAGGCATACTGGAGAATGCGACGGTCTGTGGCCTGGAGGCTGTGGGCAAATGGGTCATGCTCATAGCCCCCCTTCCGCATGGCTTCATGCAAGAACTGCAACTGCACATCCGGACCTTCCTGAAAGAAGACATCACCATTGACTTGGGGTGACCTGCCCCACAATGACTCGAAGTGTTCCTGCACTTTCTCTGGAGGAGGACCTGTCCACACTAACGTGTGCCTGTTCAACCCCACACTGAGGATTCTGTCACGTGACGTTGGCCAACCAATCAAGCGTGGCCCGGCAACAACGTGCAAGACCAGGTGCGTTTCCTGGAGCGGTTGAGCGATGTTGGAGTTGATGTCAAACATGGGCGTGCACTCCTGTGTAAACATGTCCTCCTGCTGTTCTCTAGCAAGATGGAGACGCTGGGCCACCCAGCATGCAAGCGGGTGTTGGCTGGGGTGCGCCCCCCTAGCCCGCTTACCTTCAGAACTCCAGCCCACGCAAACATTGCCGGCGCTTGCCACGATTAGCGCCTGAGGTTTTGGCCTGTCTTCTCGTGGAGGGTTCACAACACAGAGTGTCTCATGGGCAACGCACAAGGCCCGGTGCTCCTGCAGGGGTGCAGCAGAGAGACTCAGAAAAAGATGACATGTTATGACATTATGGACACAGATCCTGACTACACAGAAAGCCCCATGAATCCTGGTTGACTGCCCAGTGTGCATGTCGAAGTAGATAGTCCCGAATGTCGGAGTACGCGGCTTCCATTGCCTCAAAAGAAGGAGCGTCTGCCCCTTTCAAATTGGAATTTAAGGCAGGGTCAGTGGCGGCGCACCACTTCTGAGCAACCTCATCAATTTGGTGCCGGATGTCTCTGAAGACACAGCAGCTGCCACCATCGAGGTTCTTTGACATCTCAACCAAGATGTCTTGGCAGCTCTGGTCTATATCACAGGCCCTCGTGAACCAGTGCTCAACGTGGAAGCCATGCTCTTCTTTCAAGACCTGCAAGAGAAGTCGCTTGCATTCCCGTTCAGTAGCCATGCCTGAGTAGTCAGAATAGTCAATCAGGCCATGCTGCAAGAGGTTCTTGCATTGCTTGGCTTTCTGAGGATCTGCAAACATGTGACGCACAAACTCGGAGGGATATTCAAACATAGCTTGCAATGAATCTGGTCCTGCTGGAAGACCACTGCGACTCAAGACATCCATCAATGATCCCTGCTTGAACTTTCTTTTGCGAGTGTGCCCACTCTTGCTCTCACAGGTACTTGCACCAGCGTTCTGCGTGCCAGCGGCAGCAGCAGAGTCGTCAGCATTGGCCCCGTCCACGAAAAGCCATTCATCATCTCTTGCAGTAATGGCCCGCATGAGTCCAACCTGCAGCGTGTAGCGTGTGGGGGGCAAGCAGCAATCAGCCACACCCCAACCACGACTGCCACGGCCACCACCTTCTGAATCAGGCGGATGATATCCACTATGTCACTATGATGTCTTTGTAGCTTGAGCAGAACCATTGGACCATGACCATGACACTGCTTTCTTGCATGATGCAAACTTAGACAAGTCTAGTACATGACTGTACATGAATAGACATGGGCCCCATGGGCAAGCACTTATGACAGCCAATGACAGTAATGAATGACTTCGGCATGTCTTCAATCCACCATGCACAATGCACAAATTTATGATGCGCGCATCATAAATTTGGAAGAATTTCGTAAGGCCCCCGCGCGCAAAGAGGCCATGTCAGCCTGATTTGCCCGATTTAACGCAAATGCATGAAAACAGAAAATTTCCAGCCCAGACCCGAATCCTGCCTGCCATTGCCTGCCCCCGGTGGCCCCGCACCCAAGCGCACGGCAGAGCACGAAAGCGCACGAAAGCGCACGAAAGCGCACGAAGGCGCACGAAAAGCCACTCCCCGGCACTCGAACACAATTCTCCCGGACCACCCCAGGGCAACCGCCGGGCCTCGAAAACCAGCCCCCCAGCGAACCCAAATCCTTGGAAAACAAGCCCCAAGCCAGCCCCCAGCCAAGCCCCAGGCAGACCCCGCCAGCCAGCGAAGCAAATGTGTTCGAGTCCAGGCGGGGGGCCCCGAAGGCGCACGAAGGCGCACGAAGGCGCACGAAGGCGCACGAAAGCCAAACATGCAAATCAAGCAAAAGTCAATGGTTTTCCTTTTAAAAAAGAGCCCGAGCAGCTAGGAGCCGCCAGTGGCCGCCAGGCCCGGATTTTCTTGACTCCTGCTTCAATTTAATTCAATTTCCTCATTCCTTCTGGTTTCGCGCGAGGAGAAGAGGAACCGCGAAAATTGAGCTCCCGCGCGATGTGGGCGCACGCGAGGACACAATCGCCCCACAGACCAAAAGGCAACCCCCAAAGCAGCTCTCAAAGCCTTGGACCAGAAGCCGAACGCGGAACCAGCTGTCAAAGCCTTGGACCAAAAGCCAAACCCATAACCAGCTATCAAAGTTTGGATCGTGGAATAATCACCAAACACCACACAACCAAAAAAAACTAAGAGCCGCCAAATAACATGGTAACCATGAAGCATGACAGAAGATGGACTCCGTGTCATGGCGTGTTCAAGCAAACTGGCACTCATCACGACAGGGCAAGAGCAGCTTTGATATTTTCATGGGTTCTCTGTTGAGCTGCGGAGGTCACTCAAGGGCGGCAAAGTGTTTGACCTCCACGCTGGCAACACCACCTCGTCCCACCTCTGCTGATGCGTCCTGGCATCTGCACCACCAAAGGTAACGGAACGTTTTTTTGTGCACGCACGCTCAAGATTGTGATCTGGAAACCCGCACTTGATCTGCCAGTGCTTCGGTGCTTCTCCAACTGGCCCCACAGGTGTCAGAAGATGGTCCCCCCACCAAACAGAGCGATCCATGACCTTGTGGTGCTTCTTCTTGGGGGCAGGCACCGCCGGCCCTGCCGGCTCTGCTGGCGTTGGCCTCTCCCTGGATCCAGCCGGCTGCGCAGGGGATGAAGACGTTGTAGAGGAGGAGGAAGAAGAAGAAGAAGAGGACCCTGACCCACTGGTCGAGCTGTCACTTGAACTTGGACCACTTGAAGATGAGTCTGAGTCTGACTCATGTTCAAGTTCACAACGTTCACCCTCAGCTTCGGACAGGGAGCCGACACCACCAGCTTCAGCACCACCTTCTTCCATTGGAACATCGTCCTCCATGACTGTATCAAGCACAGCAGGCACAGGTGCCTTGCGCTGGCGTTTGCGAGGAGCAGCTTTGGGCTTTGGTTCCGGCCACATGGATTCATCCACTAGCTGCAACCTTTTTTGTCGGCGGCCGCGACCAAGCCTGGCTTCAATCTCATCATCGGCCAGCCCTTGCAAAGCTAAGTACTCCTGATCTTTTGCACCATACGGGACAGCCTTGATTTTCTCACCGTCCAAACTCAGGAGAGCCATTAGATAGCTTCGGCTGACAGTGAGCGCACCCTGTCGTGTGTACCAAACTTTGTCGGTGTCTTCAAAGCGATGCAAATGCTTCTTCTTTCTAAGGTCTTTGTGCTGGGCATGTGTAACAACCTCATGCTTCCAGCCCAAGTGATCAAGCTCCAGCACAAGTTGGAACAAGCTGGCCTCTTGCAGCGGTCCGGAAGATCGCTGCAGCAGCCTGGATTCATTGGAGAGCTGCACACACTGCAGCACCCTTGCGTGGCCAGGTGGTGTTAGCTTCCAAGGAGCAGGGGTGATCATGCCGGCGTCAACGAAGTGCTCCAGCACACTGGCAACGGCCGGGCTGATGTCTGCCGTGTGAGCCAGACCCTCAAAAGATCTGAAGAGCAGTTCCAGCGCCTGCGGTACATGTCCTCGCAAGCGCTGGGGCACACCTGCTGCACATTGGTTGTCCAGTCGGTGAAGCAGTTTAGCAGTTTCCACCTGCCAAACATAAACTTGCATGAGCTCTGCCAAGCTCAACTGACTCACATGCAAGGTCAAGGGCGTGTGCTCACAAGAAAGATTCCCCGGTCTAGCTGCCTCAAGTGAGACTGTCAGCGTGCGCCGCGTGGCATCGACCTCAACAATGTTGTGGAACTGGATGAACCACATACCAGAGAGAGATGCCTCTCCATCCACGTGAGTTCGCGGAAATCTGCTTGGCTGCTCATGCAAAACAGATGCCACAACAAACTCGTCAGCCAAAGCGCTTGCGGCGCCTGATAGCAATTCTTGCAGCGGCCGGGTCTGGCCAAAGTCTGGCAACGCTGGAGGCCTTTCAGCGTCAGCAATGGCAGGCATAGAGCCAGTCTCAGCTCCCCATGAGAGGCTGAAGAAATCTTCTGCAGATCGCCCCGGCGGCAGCGGCTTCAACAACGAGCCCAGTTCATGCAAGGTGGCCCGGTTGAATTTCATAGTGAAATACATCTTTCGCTTCACCGCTTTCTTGACATCTTGCAACGCCAGAGCATGTCGCAGCATCTCAGAACCTCCTTGCAAGTCATCGGTTTCAAGGGCAGGTGGCCCTGAAGGATTCACCTGGCGCACCGTTCGTTGGTTCACAGACTTTGGCATCTCCAGGGTGTACTTGCAATACGGGTCATCATGATATATCACCCTGAATCCCATGTCCTTATGTGGCAGCACCGCACTCACCCACCCGCTACGCAGCAGCAAGCTCTCTTGGAACCCAAGGCGCCGGGCTGCATCACGGCCATTGACTACCTGGTCCATCAGAGATGCAAGTTGACCAACATCCTGAGGACAGGCAGCCAAATGAGCCTTGATGTCCGGCAGCCTATGGGAGAGGCTTGTGTACGCAGCAGAATGGCGCGGAGCTTTCTGCGCGGCCCGTTTTGTTCTGGCATGCTGAGCTTCAACACGCCAAGCTGAAGTGAACATCAAACGCATTTCCAAGGCCAGTTTCCGCAAAGGGTCCAGACTGGGGTCGTCGGTCCAGACACCCCCACCTGCCAAGAAGTCTTGCGCTGCAGTCATGTGTTCCTGCTTGAGCTGTCTAATCTTCGGATGGTCGCAATTGCTTTGGAGACATTTGAGAAGGCTCTCTGCTCGAATCCGTGGATCCCAATGCGCCAGCCCAGCCAAAGCATGTGGCGCATGCATCCAGAAACTGAGCTTCAGCACGTATGTTGTAATGATGTGCTGGCGCGCTGTTTCAAAATCACGCATCAGTTTTGACATGTCAGACTTTGATAATCCACGAGGTAGTTGCAGCTCTAGACGGGGGGGGCAGGCATCGAGGAGACTCTGCAGCAACTGAAAGAAAGCTCCCGACGTCAATTCCGCGCACCGCCGGCCTCGAAGAGGGCACTTCTGAAATATCGACCTGCGTTCGGGAATTTCAGAATGCTCCCAGGCCTCGTGGCATGAGCAAGAGTTGACAAATTGCACTGCTGCTCTCTGCACCACAGCTATCTGAAGCATCACCGTTACAGAGCCCCAGAACATGTCTGAATGTATGCCTTCATCTACCAATGCCAAATTCACTCCCAGCTCTCCACCACCGGGCTCATCACCCGGCTTTGCTACTGGTGCATCCTCGGACCCGAGGAAAGCTCGGAGACTCCAGTACTTTCGAAGGCCAGGCTCCAGGACATGAAGCTCCTCAATTGAAGCAGCGATACTATTCCAGCGTGCATCGTGCGGAACAACCTGGAAAGATTGAATGGCATCCTGGTACACCATTGCAGCACCAACACTGAAGCATGTCTCTAGAAGTTGTTGCTTTGTTTCGCGGCCGGCTAATAATGAACATATGGCTTTCAGTCTGCTCATCATGGCCCCATAAGTTTCAAGGATATCCTCAAGCCCTCCAGTGACATTGTGGATGACATGCATGAGGTCCGGGCCTTCCAGCGCTTGGAACGAAACAGTGTTTTCGATAACCTGTGGGGGCGGTTGCTCCAAGAAAGCCAAAGCCTCGTCCACCAAAATCGGTTCCGGGTCAAGAAAGGCTTCACCCTCTGTGGCCACAACTTCACTTGAGAGATCCGGCGCATGCATGTACGGCAAGAACATGTCCAGTGAAACCTCCTGCACCCTGCAAATTCCCTTCTCAGTCCCATAGTCTGTGTGAATACTGACCACACTCTGACAAAGCTCCACAAGCTGGGCCCTGCTGCCACACAGGAGCCCAAGCGTGTGCAGGAAGATGCGCAGTTTTGCAGCAAGATTTGTTCTGGAGTGCGCAAGCATGCCGACAGGAGCAACATGCCAGACAATTGCATCAGATATCCTACCCAACTGCTGGCTGTGTGTTTCAAACTCAAAGTCACCGTCCTCTATCTCTGACCCCACGCGCTGCCTCATCTCCAGCTCCAGTTGAACGATGTCCTGCAGAATCATGGCAAATTGCAAGGCTAGACTCTTGGACACAAAGGCTCTTAACAATCGCAGACATGATCTGATCAGACATGGACAAAAATGCTCACACATCGAGGTAAACACGTCACTTCTGCATACTCTTCAGTAACGTAACGCTGCGATGCCTTACGCACTTTTCACAAATTGGCTCAGTGTCAGTGCCGTGCCACAGCCACACATCCTGCGCTGTACAAGCAGGCTTGGCTTGGCTGTCAGAAGCATCAAGAGACCTGTTGCAGCGGCTGCAACTCAATCATGATCGTATCTTACTTACCATCTTCATTCACTTCCCGGCCGGATGTGGCGGCTGGGATTGCCCTTGGCCATGCCGAAGAAACTCTGCGCAGCTCATGAGGAATGTGCTGAGTCGCTGGGCTTCATCCGTGGACGCAGAACCTTTGACCTGCTGGGCCTCAGCTGTGGAAGCCGTCACCTCCACTGCATCCGTGACATCATGGCCTCCCCAAGACTTGCGCGCAAGCGGAGGTCGCTCAGCTGGCTCCGAGGCAGCCGAGGCCGAGGCATTCCCCTGGCCCATCTTCATCTTCGTCTTCTTCCCATTGGCTTTGGCAGGGCATGAGGAGTCATGCTGCTCCCAGCTGTCAGGCTGGTTGAGCACCCATTTGCCACAGGCACATCGCGCTCGCAGATCCTGCTTGCCCTGTTTCTGCAGGCATCTGGAGGACGATTGCTGATGCCACTCCATCACACTTGGATCCAGCGACCGAATCCACTGGTTGCATATGGAGCAACGGGTTCCCTTGTTGTCCCAGGCTTTCTTGTCCCCACCACAGCCTGCCTTGTCATCCTTTCCATCATCACGGGTTCGCTTCTCCCAGGCTTGCTTGTCCCCGCCACGGCCGGCCTTGTCATCCTTTCCCTTGTCCTTGCTCTCCCAGGCTTTCTTGTTCCCACCACAGCGCGCCTTGTCGTTTCCCTCATCAATCCGGGACCATGTGGTGCTGCGGCTGCGTCGGCAGCTGCGGCTCCGACTGCGGCTGCCCGCTTTCTCACGTTCTTCACTTGCACTGGTGCTGTAGTACTCGTAGTCGTACCCCTCATACTCGGAATATGAAGCGCTTGGCACGTCACCACGTGCACATCGCCCTCGAAGATCCTCATCAGAGCGGCCCGGCGGCGGGCGGTTTGGCGGTGGGCCTGGCGGAGGCGCAGGCCACAGCCTCATGGCGGCACGCCACCACTTGGCCACCTCCCTTCAAATCAAACCTCCAAGGCGCCTGAACCAATAGTGACTGCAGATTGTTCAGTTCAGCGCATAGCGCATGATTCAAGCAAGCAAAACTGCAAAACGACAGGAGTACTTAATTGAGAAGGCTGGCCTACATACAGTCTGACATATACGCGACACAAGACTGCAGCAAAGGGGTCCTTGTGCATGTCGATGTGGGCGGCCACAGGCACACAGTTCAGCACTGTGACTTGGTACTCCTGCCGCGCCTGCCAGGTTGCGTCTGTTTGAACGTACACTGCTATTCCTTGCCCCCCGCATTGAACCAAATGGGAAGTCAGCCACCCACGAAAAAGCAAAGTCCACGCTACGTCCAATCTGGCTCGGCACCTGCTTAATGTGGCTGGAGATGGAACCCTCAACCTGCAAGCATCCTCCTCGTCTGTGCCCTCAATAAAGGCCACTGCTGCCTCCTTTATCTCCCCAGGCAGGCTGGCAGCACACGCAGCTTTCAAAGTTTCACGCAGGTTCTTGTCATTCTGCAACATTCCGGCAACCCAGAAAAACTCAAGCAACCGAATGGCCCCATACTTGCGTGCCCTGAGCAGGTTGCAATTCTTCTGCCTGAACAACCGCTCATTTAGATCCTTGACTTGCAGGGACAAGCTTGCAGAGTACAGACTGGATAAGACGTCAGCCCTGGCGGATTCAGTCAATGACGAGCCTTGGAACAGTGCTGCTGCCAACTGCAAGTTGTCGAGCGGTTGCTTTGAACGATCTTCGCCCTGCTTGAATATGTTGGGTAAAAACTGCTGTCCCGGCGGCAACTTGCTGAAGTCATCTCGAAGGACAAGCAAACGCTCACATGACCTACTGTGTCTGGACTCCCACCCAGCTGAAATTCGAACTTCCGACAGCATGTTGGGCACTGCAACACAACTCCACTCTTTGGCTGCAAGCAGAAAAGCGATGCACTTCGGAACACGCAACACAATGTCCGGAATCTTCCCATCGTTCAAAAGCAACCAGGAAGACAAATCACGCTCAGTGTTGCCAAGTACGTCTTTGCAAAACATTCGGCTGGCGAACTCTGGTACTACTGGAAAGAAGCATGTGGTTCGCCCTGTCTGTGTTTTATGCAAGGACACGGGTAACCTCAGCATATCTGCTTTCAGCACATTGAAATAATACAGGCCACCTTGCAAAGTATCATTCTCCAGCGCGCTCCAGAAATTGTACTGGGCCTTCATGTCCGTCGATAAAGGAAGCAAGGCGTGATGTTGAGCCTGGGCCTCTATCAACGCTATGCCTACCACCTCATGACCTGCAGAGCAAAGCGACTCACACACGCTTCCCGGGCTCAGGTCATTCTTCTGCTCAAACTGAGAAACGGCTTTGTGAATGCCCGGGGTAGCCTGGGCTTCCGCGTTGACCCACGCATACTTCGTCTGCTGCTGCTGATTTTTTTGCCGTTTGTGATCACTGAAGGAAGCCAACCAAACAACAACCATGCCGCTGCTCAGACTATCAGAAGGCCCTTCAGGAGTTCAGGACATGTGGAATCTGGAATCTGGAATGTCCCTGCTGCTGCAGTGCTGACTCATTGCTGACTTGCTGTTTTTGACTTATTGACTTGCTGAATCGACTGCTGGCAGTTACTGGCAGTTAGCGAGAGTTCCAAAGACTGCCGGACTACCGGTACTGACGATATCGAATCCCGGCATTCAAATTCACACAACACAACTTACGATAATCGTCAATTCGTCGAATCCAGTTGCTTGAGCGCCTGGGCTGACAAGCAGATGCCCTCTGTGGACAGAAATTAGACCAATCAACTGAACGCATCACATCTGTGCGTGGCTCTATGATGAGTCTGATGAAAATCAAAAAAAGCCGTCAAAGCCGAGTGAATACTGGACAGTCGGTACAAGTTGCAGGCCTCTGAGCAAAAAATCTGCCCGGAATAAAATTGTGAAACTCTCTATATTATTAGGAAGCAAGGAGTCATTTTCATCTTCAGGTCAAATAAATTACACCCTACCACCCTGGTGCGATGAAAAAATGGCCTTGCGACTTAGGTGCCTAAGAGAAGAGAATTAGCGCATTTAGCTAGCTGAAGCGCACGAACCCTGCAAACCCAAGGCCCAAGGCCAAGCCTGCCAAAGCGCCAAAGGCGAAGGCAAAAGCAAAGAATGGGTCCAAGTGATAGCACATGTGCGAAAGCTATGTATAGGGGGCCTTCATGCCCGGACCCTGCCCTTAGCCCGAGTCGAGCTGCTTTGTACTTCTAACCACACACACTCAGCGGGGGAATGCAGCGGATTCGTGGGCGGGTGGCATGCGTGCTCTAAACCGGCCAGCTTGGGGACACTTCGCGCTCGTGCAAGAAAAACATGTTCAGAGTACTTGCGCCGGCCTACTGTGGGCTTTTTTGGGTTTGCAAGGGTCTTTAGAGGGGGGGTTGTGTGGTGAGCTTGCAAAACATGACAGGTGACAACCATCAGCAGCGCCTTCAAGTGGCGCGACAGCTGGTGAAGGGCGCCCCACGGCCAGCGGCATAAGCGTGGGTTGCAAATACTTACATAGGGTGGTAGCTTAAGGGTGGGGGGTGTTGGTTAGCTTTCGGAGTTTCTGACTTTCGCCCCTGTCCCACTTAGAAAACCCCTATCGGATCCCCCTGCAAAGGTCCTGACGCCTGCTTTTGTGAGGTTTGGAGAGTGGGGGCTTGCCTGCGGGTGAGAGTTGACGGGGTTCGCAGGGTTTACAATAGTTTGCAAAGTAGGCCAGGCTTCGGGGCCTATAGGCTTGCTGTCGGGGCTCTAGGGTTGCTTTAGAGGTTTCAGGGCCTGTCGGGTTGCTTTGGAGGGGCATTGGGGTTGCTTTGGAGGTGCTTCGGAGAGGTAAGGGCTTGTTTTGAGGGCTTTAGGGTTGCTTTGGAGGGTATTGCGGGTTGCTTTGGAGGGCTTTAGGGTTGGAGGGGCTTTCGGGTTGCGGCTTTAGGTTGCTTTGGAGGGGGTTAAAGGTTTCTCTGAAAGGTTTTCGGATTTCTTTAGGGTTCGGCTGTGAAGGCACTTGAACTGCTTCAAGCCAAAAATGCACTCCCTTTCAAACTTTACACCCAACACTCGAACGCCCAATCCCCTGTCCTGGGTTTAGGGTTTATACGCAGAGTTTATATAGGGTTGATAGGGTTTTTGTAGGGTTTGTAGGGCTTATAATACAGGGTTCGTATAGGGTTGATCTAGGGTTTATATGTAGGGTTTCTCGTTTTTTTCTCATCCAAGGCATCTGGTGCCCAAGTTTGGGACAACGCGGTCTCACGTCGGGCGGAGTCGACGCCTCCTTCGGCTAAATCGATTCATGGCCGGCTGGCTAGAGGAAGCAAGCATCGTGCGGAGCACAATGCCTGGAACGAGCTTTTTGACAGCATTCTTTCAGATTTTTCTAAGTGACTTGTAGGGGTTGGTCGGTTATCATTCGTATCCATCGGCATTCTAAGGCTTCAATCTGCAGGAGTTTCTTTTCCTGTGGACATCGATAGACTAAGAGTTGGTCCTTCTGAAATTAAAGTGCCGTGGCTGGATCCCTACAAGATGATGTCTGCTCTGGCTGCACGAGACCAACTTCACCTTTTGCATGGTTCCTGCGACTTGCTGGAATGGTGGCGGCGCTTCGCAAAGGCGTGTCCAAACCATTGGGCTTTTCAGCAGGCTATGGCTGGCAAATTAAATCTTGCGCGGACTATACCTATTTTTTCGCATGGCGATGAAGGCCGGTCGAAGAGGAAGAAGGGCATCCTTATATGGTCCATGAGGGGCTGTGTAGGCGAGGGCACACAGCTTTTTTTTGACACCCATGACGCCAACGCCAGAACGCAGCGAATGGGACTAAACATGGGTGGCAGTCTTCGGTCACGCTTTCTTCATGTTGCTGTGCCGAAATCCGTGTACGGTAAAGTCGCTGAGCCTGTTTGGGATGACATTGGCTTTGCTATTGCCACTTCCTACAGAAGGCTTTCCTCAGAAGGCTTTTGGTGCAATGGCCAGCAGTGGCACGCCGTATGTGTGGGCTTAACTGGGGACACTTAGTAGCTGAGTGAGTACACATTTTCAGTTTTTGGGATATTATACTGTCTACAAAACTAAAGCTGTGTACACTTTTTAGGTGGCTTATGAACTCAGCAACTAAGGACAACCCTTTCCTTGCTAAAGCTGGGCACCTTTTGCGATCCTACGCAAGGGTCGCCAAAAAGACTGGCGAGAGTACGAGCAATGGCATATGTTGGCTTTGCTTGGCAGGGACTGACGGTGTGGTGTTCGAAAACTTCAACCTTCACCCCGAATGGTCTCACACAATGTATGATTCTTTGCCGTGGCGAGAGCTTCCACCGTTTTTTCGGGCTCTTGGGTGTTCTGATGAGGACACTACGCTTCCACAGTGTCTTTTCTTCGATTGTTGGCACAACTTTCACGGAGGACTTGGCAAACACATGGTCGCTTCCACTGCAGTGGAAGTGTTGCAAAACATGGGGCAAGGAAATCTTCAGACGAGGGTGCAGCAGCTCAACGATGCATATGAGGCCTGGCGCGAGGTCTCCAAGCTCAAGCTGCACTGTGGACGGCTGGATAAAGAATTGTTTGGCATTGAATCCGGCACCATGGCCTGCCCGACTGGAACCTGGTCCAAGTTCAACGACACGAGGATTCTCATGTCGTTCTTGGAGCATTTCTTGTCCAACAACGGGCAGCAGTACGTAGCCACTAGGATCACCCGAGAAGCTTTGGCTGGCATCCGAGCCGCAAACGTGTGCTTCCGGACCTGCTATTCCTCGGGCTTTTGGATGACTGCTGCGGAGGCTGAGAGAGCTGGCGCAGCAGGACTCCATTTTCTGGCATCGTACAGCCGTGTAGCAATGTGGGCACTGGAGGAGGGGCGCATTCGATACCCGATGATGCCAAAGGCACATTACCTCCACCACAGCTTTCGAGACATGTTTCTCGCGGGCCGGAGTGGCAGCACATGGTGCCAAAATGCCCTATCCAGCTCCGTCCAAATGGACGAGGATTTCATCGGCCAGATCGCCCGTTTGAGTAGGCGTGTGGGAAGTCAGCTGCTCATGCAAAGAACAGTGCAGCGCTATCTCCTGGCCTTACACTTGGAGCTTTACGATGAAGACTCAGCTCCGTCGTCAAGTCGAAAACCATGCGTGCAAATGCCATAGCAAGCCTTCTTACCCACCAGCAACTACCTCCCCAATCCCTTTCAGGGAGTTCCGGAAGAATTGTGGGGGTGTCTGGTTTCCACCAGGAAATAGGTTTCTGACCATCATCAAAGCGGACGGATTTTTTGCGCGGCTGGATTTTTCCGGCCTCTTCAATAGGACAGTTTTTTCTGGAACGGGGGATTAACAGGTAAACCCTAAACCCTCTTCTTCATTGGCAGCCTCAGAGGTCTTGTTCCCTCAAGGCCCACAAAATCTCAACCGTGAGCCCCTCTAGCCCTGGAAACCCAAAACCCAAACGCAGTAATTCCCTAAACCCTAAACACTAACCCCGAAACCCTAAACCCTAAACCCTAAACCCTAAACCCCAAACCCAAACTCCGTAGACGGCCTTTGAACTGGCTTCTTCAGCGGAAACCTTTAAATCCGAAGGGCCCCTGCAGATGAGCACCACTGAAAACGCTCTTCGTAGCATGGGTGTGGGGTTTAAGGTCTAGGGTTGGAGGGTAAACGCCGAGCCCTACTAGACCCTACAAGCAACAAAAGGGTTTGGGGCCGAGGGTCTATGATTTTTTGAGGCGGTTCTTGAAAGTTGAGGGTCTTTGGAGAACAGTTCTAACTTGGATTGCACTTTTACATGAGGAAGCCTCTGCTCAGTAGGCACAACCCACTCATCTAGGACCCTAAGCCCTAGACCCTCAACCCTGAAAAGCACTGTAAACATGCACCCCGCCACACGTCTGAACCATATACGCCCGAAACCCGGCACAATGAATGTGCTTCCGCTCCCCAGGCCCTGAAACCCTGAAAATAGAACCCTGAACCCAGACCCCTAGAAAACCCTAACCCCTAAACGTTGCACCCTAAACCATTTTAACGCTAAACCCTAAACCCTGAACCCTAAACTCCTGAAAAAATAGATCTCTGCCCCCAACCCCATCCGACAAGTCATGCAGCTGCAACCTCCCGCCTCCGCGTCCTTGCGAAAACAGCGGACGCAGGCTTGATCCTTGCGGGTTGGGGTAGGGCTTGGGGTTTAGGGTTTAGGGCGGTTAGGGCCTCAGGGCATAGGGCTTGATGTTTTTTCGTACAAGGCCCAAACCCCCCTAAACCCTAAACCCTGAACACCAAAAAACCACAAAACCCTACAAATCCCCTGCACCCTTAAAAAGACCCTAAAACCTACGCCCTAAAAATCAAACCGTAAAAATCCCCCAAACCCTAAACATCCCTAAACCCTAAACCCTAAAGCTAAAAATACCCTAAACCCTCAACCCTAAACCCTAAGCCCTCAGCCTTATAAACCCTAAACCCTAAATAAACCCTAAACCCTAAACCCTAAACCCTGAAAAAGGAAACCAAAAAGCCTAAACCCCAAGCCCTAAGCCCTAAACAAACCCTAAGAATTCCCAATACCAAGGCCGTGCCTTCATTGTCACCTCCAGACCAAAGAGGCGGAGACCGATCTCCTGGCCGAGCAGCTGAGCTGGCTAGGGTTTAGGGTTTAGGGTTTAGGGTTTAGTGTTTAGGGTTTTTGGGGTTAGGGTTAGAGTTTAGGGTTGAGGGTTTAGGACTTGGGGTTGAGGGTCTCGGGCTTAGGCCATCTACCGTCACCACGGGGTTCAGGGCTTAGGCCTGGGGCCTCTCTGGGGTTACCCGACACTCTAAACCTTCTAGCTCGACTGTTAGGGTTTAGGTTTTAAGGTTTAGGGTTTAGGGTTTAGGGTTTAGGGTAGGGGGTTTCAAATCTCGGGCGTTCCAGCAAGCATTGTTTTTCATGGAGCCATCTGAATAAGGCCAGGCAGAGGATGCCAGGTTGAGGATGTACAGCATGTAGTCGACATGCAGAAGAAGCTGCTAAACCCTAAACCCTAAACCCTAAACCCTAAACCAACCCTAAACCCTAAACCCTAAACCCCGTAGAAGTGGTCACCCGAGCCCAGCATCATGGACAGCACTTTCCAGTCAGGCGCAGCCAGACGTGCCATCATGTGTTTGGCGCCAGCTTGTGTGAAGTGACTGAGCTGTGCGTGGGTTTCAGGCAGAGGGCCGCTGGGCTTTAGGGCTTAGGGTTGAGGGTTTGGGGTTTAGGGCTAGGGTTTAGGACTTGAGTCTACGGGGTTGAGGGTTCTTGCAGGTTTGGTATCTATAAGGCCTTGGCGTAGGCTTGCGCCTACCAAAAACCCAATGTTTGTAGGTTACCTACGAATCCTATAAGGGGCTTAATCGTGATAACCTCCAAAAAAAGGTTTTGGGTTCTTAAGGTAGGGTTGGTTGCACGAGTTCGGGCTTAGATGCTTGGATTCTTTGAGAGTTTAGTATTCTAGCGGATTTGTGGGTGCTTCCGCTTTTGGGCTGCGGGTCTGTCTATCGTTATGCGAGGAACAGAGGCTTGTGCCAGCATTCTCTCTCAGCATGAGCTGGACGCGCCAATCCCTGCGGCTAAACGCCTAATGAACCCTAAACCCTAAACCCAGACCATGTATGGTTAGGCATCAGGCGTCTCCCCGTCCCCCGCCGCCCCGCCCCCGATATGGTCCGGCGGGGTGGAAGGGCCTGCCTGAGGGTCTGAAGGGTCTGCGGCCAGATTTGGGCCAGGGTTTAGGGCCTAAGCCGTAAGCCGAAAACGACAGACCTGTAAACCAGAAGCCTAGCATTTAGCTTGCCTTCTTGCTTGTGTGTTAGAAGAAACTCCGCGATTGTGCGTAAAAAGGCTACGCGATTGTGCGTAAAAAGGCTACGCCCTGAGAACCCTAAGCCCCGAATCCTAAGCCCCAACCCGTAAAGCCAACTCACAGCCACACAAACCTACACCCAAAACGCTAAAAGCTCCAAACCCTAAACTAAACCCCTAAAGGGGGTGCTGCACCCAGACCCAGACCGTAGGGGGGTGGGCCCACGGAGCGCGTGACCGGATACAGGGTTGTGGGGTTAACCCAAGCCCTATAAACCCTAAACCCTAAACCCTAAACCCTAAACCCTAAACCCTAAACCCTAAACCCTAAACCCCTCCTTGCCTTGACCACGCCCACAACCACCATTGCCAACCCGGCGCGCGAGGACAGGTAGTGGAGGTCGAGTTCGTCCTGCATCTTAAGCGAGACATTCGGAAGTTCGGCACTGATTAGGGTTTAGTTTGGGGTGTTGGAAGGGTTCAAGAGGTTTTTGAGCCCCAGGTTTTGCTAAGGACTTGGAGTCTTTGCTCAGAGTTCAGGTTTCCTGCTAAGGCTTTCCCGCTAAGGCTCTGCAATCCTACATAGGTACGAAGAGTGGGGGCGGCGGCGCGGGGGGGTTCTTCTGAATCAGGCCAGGGTCACTTTGGGATGCCCTTTGACAGTCGAATCCCTTTCAAGCCCTAGCAGGCTCAAGCCTTAATTTCTAGACCCTGGTGGGGGTTTCCGCAAAAACATAGGAAGTCCAAAAACCCTAAACCCTACACCCTAAACCCTAAATCCACTGGCCCCATCGTAGCTGTGGCACCGCAGGGTGAGACGTTGTTTCACAGGATGGCCTCATCCTTGAACATCCGGCCATCCGATGCAGCTATCTACGTCACGCAAGGGTTTTGGGGTTTTGGGGTTTTGGGGTTTTGGGGTTTTGGGGTTTTGGGCTCGTGCAAAATAGGGGGGGGTGGGGACGGGGTGGGGTGGGGGGGGGGGGGGGGTTTGCGGGGGGGAGGGGGGGTGGGCGGGGGGGGGGGGGTGAGGTACCCCCTAAACCCTGTCCCATATGCGGCGGTTTAGAGTTGAAGGGCTGGGCACTGGCGGGGACCAATGGGATGTAGTGATATTGAATTTGGGGTTTAGGGTTTAGGGGGTTTAGGGGGTTTGGGGGGTTTCGGGGGTTTGGGGGGTTTAGGGGTTAAGGTTTAGGGTTTAGGGCTACAGGACATCATGCCAACCCTTAAGATTTGCACCAAATGCGAACGTCCAGATCCGCCGCGAGAAAGACGAATGACTGGGATGTTCAAAAAGGTGCTTGTAGGCAGGGCTTAGGGTTTAGGGCTTAGGCTTTAAGGTTTGGGGTTTCGGGATTAGGGCTCTGATAAGTAATGCTATAAGTAGGGTAACGATGGTTGCAAAGGTACAGTCAGGGTGCTTATAACCTTACCTATAAGTACCCATGAACCTTCAAGTACACCCCGACACGGCAAAACCAAATCCTGAACCTAGCTACTCGCGAACCCCGACTGACCCCCCACAACAAGTACACCAAGGAAGCCCTAAACCCTAAACCCTAAACCCTAAGCCCTAAACCCGAGAACCCTAAACCTTGCACCCAAACCCTCAATCCTAAACCCTAAACCCACCCTAACATCATTGCAGGTGCTTGGCAAGTCCTTGCTGCCGTCGTAGCTGACTTCAAGATAGGGAAACCTGGGCCATGAAAGGGTTTTAGGGTTTTGGAGTTTTGGGGTTTAGGGTTTTCGGGGTTTAAGGTTTTAGGGTTTTAGGGTTTTTTAGGGTTTTTTTTAGGGTTTTTTAGGGTTTTAGGGTTTTAGTGTTTTAGGGTTTTAGGGTTTGAGGTGTGTAGTGTTAAAGGCTCGGGCTTGAGGTTTGTGGGGCTTAGGGTCTTGGATTTCCAGGCTTCCAGGTTTGGAGTTCCAGGTTTAGAGACGTCTTAGGCTTATAGGGTTTATAGGGTTTGCAGGGCTCAGAGGGTTTACGGTTTCGGAATTGTAGGCCTAAGGGTTTCGGGTTTGCAGGTGTAGCGCCATAGGGATTTGAGCCCACCCTCAACCCTACACCCGGGCCCCTGAATGGATGTCAAGTGTAGAGTTGGTTCATGTTTTCATTCATTTGTGGTGTAGAGGTGCTAAAGGGTGTAGGGCACTTCGGCTTGAGGGTTCCTAAGTGTGCTGAACCCCCCCCACAGAGCCCTAAACTACAAACCTGAAGCCCTCAACCCCAAACCCTCTAGGGCTCACCGGCGCGACTTGCGCGCCGTAGACGCTAGAGAGCCCAGGAACCCTCCAAAACATGAAAAGAGACTGCAGGGCT